CTCACAGCCACTCATACTCAATACAATCGAACTATCATGCAAAACCCAATTTATCAAAATATCTAAGCACAGTAACTTCTCAAAATCACAGGTCTAAACTTTGTTATGGCAAGAAAGACATGGCTATATCATAAAAGTTAGAGCATCACATATATCATTTCATTTGGTCAACAAGTCCTTGAAATATGCAATACTTAGAGTTTAATCAATTCATCTAAACAGATGCTAGAAAGCACAATTATATGGTCATCGTTCCCCACAGATAACTATCAACCGATAACACACATTTCATCTCACCATTTGCATATAAATTGTTTTACCAAGCTCGAACCCTCACCACATGCAGTGCACGCTTTTGATTGAATCCCACCTGCGTGTCTTGTATTGTCCACTAATCTATTTAAGATAAATAGAGGCAATAGTTCTCATAATTATTTATTCTTTATTATTTAAATTTTTTTTCTTGCAATTCGTTTTACTTAGGTTGTACAATTTCCCTTTTCATTCTGTCTAGGCAGACGGAGATAAAATCCTCCGGATCTTCCATTTTTATGCTCACTATATTCTGCATCACAATCAGTCACAATATACTCAAAAGATATACAATACACATGGAGAGAAACCATTGCAGTTAGCAGATATTACACACACAAATATCGTTGCCATCAATCTATTTCATATGCACCAAGGATGTCATGCACGATGCCTAAGTCTTTTCTGGACATCCTCAAGCTCAATGGATTCGTGTGTGAGATAGCAACTCGTGCTCTGGTACCACTTGCCACGCCCCAAACCCGCCCCTAAAAGTTTCGGCATGACCACTTCAGAACGGACAGATAATATGATATATATATATATATACAACATATGGGGCCTGAACGGAAGCATTTAATAATATCATAAAATAATATAAATTAATAACCATCGAGCTCACACCTATATGCCAGGATCTCAATGTGCCATTCAATAATTCCACATATGATAGACAAATATACAAGAAGCAAATATATGCATTTACACAATAACACATATGAGCATATATATACAAAACTAGCCCCACACGTGGGCATACAACAAAAATATTGGTACAGGAAATTATACACGACTAGTCACATTAGATAAAAGGTTAAGGACCAAACTAGGGGTCATTGGGGGAACCCCACAAAATGTATAAGCTTCTCCACATGGCTTGACCAAGAAGGGGTGACCAAAGTCGAACTAAGACCGACCTTCAGGTTGATTGCCTACAGAAACAGACATAACACAAGGTGAGTAAGGCTCAGTGAATAATAGCACTCAATAATTTAAGGATTATACTTGAATTGTACTATTTATAACGTATGTAAGTGCGGAGGTCAAATAATTGCTCGTATCTAGTAAACATTTTCATAATGGCCTTGGGCCCAGTTTTCATACAGAGAGGCTTTAAGCCCAGTATTATGCAGAAGGGCCTCATGCCCAACAGATCCAACAGATTGGCCTCAGGCCCAGATAGTAACAGATTGTACAAAATAACTTCCAGCCTAACAAATTACACAGATCGGCCATAGGCCCAACAGATTATACAGATCGGCCATAGGCCTAGCAGATTATACAGAACAGCCATAGGCCTAGCAGATTATACAGAACGGCCTCTGGCTTAACAGAATATACAGAATGGCCTCTGGCCTAGATATCATCAGAACAGACTAGTCTTAGGGTTATACAGAGGCACACAGATTCTTTCAATCATTCACATGAGTTTACATAGTTAGTTTGCGTTTAACAGGATACTAATGATAATTATTAGCAATAAGTAAAGCGTATTTCATAGATATCACATGTACCCTTACAATACTATTTGTAGGGGCGGAACAATTCACATCATAGCATGAGTCATTTAACAATGTTATTGATATTCAATTCTTTCCTCGGGTTGAGTCATTCATAGGTCAATCCGATATTTAGCATGGTTTCTCAACAGTCACTAACATATAAAGCAACTCGTAGCTCTATCTGATTATTCCTTCTAATGATCCATTCTAGGCAGATATCTATGTCATAAGACATGTGTTGAACCAAACAGACTGTAGGAGTCCCAACTAGGACATTCGGGATATCATGTTCCCATTCAAAATATCATGTTCCCGGTAAGCAGGGGTTATATTCACAATTTCTTTCTGTCAACCAATTCCACAGTATTAATAGTTTGTATGCAATTCTTATGCAGAGTCATAAGTAATTTACAGGTTATAGCACATTAATGATAACCATTAACCGTAACCAGAATGCAGAGTAGTTCCAGAGTCATACTGATGTACACAAATTCCTTCAACGTTTACATAAGTTCACACTGATTCCCAATCAACATACATGTTAACGTAATTATTAGCAGAGAACAGAATGTTAATAATAATAATTATTAACGGTAAATAAATGTACATCCATAGTACTATTACTCACTACGTTGTGGCGGACCGTTAATTCCTCCTGGAGTGTGTCCTACACACACACAAAGTCACAAATTAATTCTTTTTCCTTGTTAAATCATTTTCTGACTCACTTTGTTTCGATAAGAATTTACAAACATCGAAAGGCATCAAATACTGATTTCAAAAATATTAGAGGGTTGAGCACGTAAAACAGAGCAGATAACATTTTACAGCATGGGCCGCACGTGCGGTTGTGAGCCCCGCACATGCGGCAATTGGTCCCACACGTACGGATGGGAAGCCTCGCACGTGCCTTTTTACCAGTAGCCAAAACCCAAAAATCCACCATTTCCCGCACGTGCGGCAGTGCTCCCGCACGTGCGGCCATGACCCCCGCACGTGCAGCGATTCCCCTAGTGAGAGCAGTCCGAAATTCAAGCAAAATCTCATTTTTGGTGAGAATTTACAAGGCTCAAAATAAGTCTATAAATTGCTAGACTATGGTCCAAAAATCATGTGAATAAGAATTACAAACACATATCACTCTCAATATGAATTGATTCTTCTATTTCTTGCAATTCATAAACATCAGTTAAACACTTTGAATCCCTACTATAAAGTTCCCAAATATAAATGTAATCATCCAAATCATCCAAATCCATAAATGAGTTCAAACATGTAAAGATAAGGAATAGAATGAAATTCCTCTTCATATAACACAATTTAACTCCAAATCAATCCAAGGATACAACATCTTTTTAATTTAACCAACACACACCCTAATTTGCATGATTATCAAAGAAAATCTAACTCATATTCAAGAGAGGACTTAATTCAAGCAAAATACACATACCTTGAGCTTTAAACCCTACAATCCCTCTCAATTTTCCAATTTTTCTTCTTGATGAGTGTATCCTCTTCCTCTCAAACCCTCTTCTTCCCTAATTCTTTTTCTCAGGAAATATTTTGAGTAATGGCTCTAAGTCAAAGATGTAAGGAAAAGGTGAATAAAGACAAATTTTAATCAGTTTAATCGTTCCAAATCAAAATTTCACAGAAAATCCTATTATGATCTAAAAATCATACTGAACTCAAATATAACATCAATTTAAGGTAATTAAGTCTCTACGGCTTCCAATTTCTGATTCAAACATTATAATTGTGACAGATTTTTCTCTTATTAGACAGATATACATCCATAATCATAGGATTCACTTAATTAAACTTAATTTCATAATAAACATTTAAATGCACAGAATGTGGGACTGAAAGTATACTAGAAACATACACGAGGGCTGGGTTATTACATTAACATTAGATGTCAATGCACTGTCCTTAAAAATGGAGGTTGTGATAAATATATTATATGCTCTTTGTTTTTGGGGCAGTGTGAGATCATAAAGCAAACTATAGCTGCCAGAAATTTGCTTCCCATAATTTTTTTTTAAAATTTATTATTCTCTTGAAGCCTTTTGTGCAATCATAACTTTTCTTTAGTATTTAGAAAAAAGTTGATTCTTCTTTATACGAAACAATTTTCTGCTTTTCTACATAGTTGATCAATAAGCTTTTAGTAAACCTTGCAATACTGCAGAAAGATAAACTTGAAAGGGAAAGAAGAAAGCTGCTGCCTCATGTTGGTGCTGCCAATGTAAGGTGACAGGAGGGGTATATTGGGTGCAGACCATGCCTTCTACATTATTTTTATGAAGTGGCCAACCTTAAGCTCAAATCCACATGGCCACATTCCCATGCTTGGAGTGTACCTAGCAATGATAAAAGCTCAGGACCGAGAATGCAGTTTTTGCTGCATACAAGCAAGTTTTGGTTATAATTTGACAAGAGAATGGAGGAGACCGGAACTTGAGATTAGCAAGGAACAAGGTTGTTGCATCTTGATAGATTATTGGAATGGTTCCATCCTCTTTTTCATCTTCTTCATTGCTGTACCATCTGCTATTTTTTTTTCTCTTTGTTCATTTTCTTTAAAAACTTACTCATCATTGTTGTGTTTCCATCTTCTTCAGCGTCATATGTTCATCTTCTTCACTTTGTGTTTCATCTTTTGTTTTTTTTTTTTTTTTTTTTCAGCTATGTTTCATCTTATTTTTCAATTCTCTAGTTATCCACTGTCTTTTTGTCTTCTTTCAATTGCTCTTGTTTTGACTTCACTTCATGAAGGTCCTAATTTCTTTGTGCTATTTTTTCACTGTACTTGACTGACATATTTTATATTGAGATGAAAGCATATAATAATAGGTTTAGGGATTTGAGGATTGAACACAGTTTTCATTATACAGATTCATGAAGAGGGGAAGACTTTGGGGGGTGGTTGGGGTTGCATTGTGGAGGGTAAAGCTAGGAGGGGGTTATTAGGATGGGGGCAAGGCAGTGGTGATTGCTGGGCAAGGGGCTTGCAGGGTGGTGGTTTGAGGTGGTAGTTGGGATGGGTGTGTAGTGGTGGTAGTTTCATGCATTTATATCTGTTTTGCTTCATGCATAACAGTTGAATTTATTCTTATCTTTTGTTCGTATTTATGCAAATATTTCTTGAAATGTTATGGTTGACTTATGTTATTGTTGTTACAGATCCTTATTTTTCTGAACGAAGTGGATTATATATTGGCCAAGGAACGACAATGATGTCAAGAGCTGGAATGTTTCGCGTTTTACAAGGAATTGCTATGGATATGAAAAACAGAGTATTTGAGCTACCTTCCTTTCATGGTATAATTTCCCCCCCCCCCAAAATATGGCGAGCATATGTGATATTGATTATGATTTTATTGCAACAAAATGATTTGGTGTGACATTTAATTATGGAGTTTTAGACCCCCTCACTTTTCAGTGGTTTCTCAACTTGTAATGGTGTAAGGCACATGCATCTGTTTAGCAGTACAAATCCTTTTGTTTATTAGTTCTTGATTTCCCCCTTGTTTGTTATTCACTATAATGTAGTCTCTCTGTTTGTTTCAGTGTTACTTGGAAGGTGGATCATTATGGTAGGCAGGATAGGACCCAAGGATAAAAAATTCATTTTGGTATTTTGTTTTGGTTAGCTTGGAAACAAATTTTTCTTTGAAACATTTCAAGAACATCAGTGAAATGACAAA